CGCTTCACAAACGTAAATAGCTAAATATGTATAAGAATGCATGTAACAATGATTGTTGCTATTTAAGGGTTGCTATTATGCTGAAAAACTACTGAGCTATACGTACAATAATTTATTATTTATATGGGACGCCTGTTGTAGATGTTTTTGTTTTTGGTTTTTGTTTTTTTAATATAGCTATCTTCCTCGGCTGACTTGAAAATTGTGCCTGCAATGCAACATGTCATAAGTTCTTTCCTTTATTTCAAAAATCAACCTCTTGGCGGTGGCTTTTCTTTTTTTATGAAGTACATCAATTTTTTAAGATGTCTACCCAATTTTTATACCCTTAACTCATAATAATAATAATAATAAGAATAATATTTTTTTCTTCTTTCCTTTGTTTATTATATTTGATGAGATAGATGTTGGTTGTCGTTCTCCTCTTCTCTTTCCAAATGACCAAATGTTCGTTTCACATAAGCGTGAAATTAAATTTTACCATGGGTTATCATCTTGAATGGCAGAAGGATACAACTTAATTTAATATACAAAGTATAATTTTCCTCAACGTTCACATCGTAATTCATTTGCTTACATGTCTGTGGATTTTCAAGTGTTGCAAGCATTCTCTTTATGGCTTTATATACCTTTTGCTTTTTTTTTTTTTGATATTCATTTAATTTTGTTGTTTTTTTTTTTGAATTCGTTAGAGAAACATTTCGTATAAAATCTTATACAACAGCATCTGACGCCATCAATTTGTTACATTCGAATATTATTTGATATCATTAGGATCAGATGTTCGATTTAGTCTTTTTGGGTTATTGCTAATGTTGTAATTACATCATTTGTTATCGATTTTTTCTTTTTTTCGTTTTTTACCTTTACATACATATTTTGTATTTCGTGTGTAACCTATAACGAGGTTGCCTGCTTGAAAGTATGAATTCAGTACGAATAAATATTAGACGGGACATATGTCTAAAAACACGACGTCATTATAGCTATATAAAAAAGATGTCAACACTGTTATAATATAATTAAATACTTGTTTATACTCTCAGACAAGCTGAACATAAATTTGCTTTAGACTTGATAACAGCGAAGCAAAAACAACAAACAAGATAGGTGTATTCGCCTTAACATGTACCTTGAGAACTCAAAACCCTAACTGAATATTTAAAAGTTTTATAAAATTTGGTCTTAACTTTCCAATGAATAATTTAACCAAATTTTAAGTCGCTCAGAGTTCTGAAACAACTGTTAGTTTTATTTCTGTCATAAGTAAGCAAATTATTAGCAAATCAAGTCCATTTTAAAATTCGACGTGACCTTACATTAGAAATCTTTCGGCGAATTTCAGCGAGTTTTCTGTATTTTCATAATAGTAAGCTTGGCAACAGAAGGCAGTGGAAGGACGAGCAGAAAGGCGGATGTCGCGAAATCCTCTCAGAATCTAAAGCATTTCCAAAATATATATTTATTTTCTTTATTTGATCGATATTTCTGAATTGCACAGCGGGCGGACAGACAGACGCACGGATATTTTTGAACCGTCTGAGAATCTCATATATATTTTATGAGGGCTTTTGGTCTCATGTCTGGCTTTTACAACCTATACTACAGAACTCTATCATTCGATGACGGGAGAAAAAATGGAAAATTTTAGTTCCTTACCTGAGAACGCATATAAACCCTGCATCCTAACCTTAACTTTTTCAACTAAACAGCAAAATACTCCATTATACCGCTTACCTTGTAGTGTCCCCAACAAATACTTATTATTCTCGAAGAATTTAGAGCCAAGTCTAGAAAATAAATGCCATAAATAATCTAAGGGACACCGCGAGTAATGCTTTGTCTCGACTGAGAAGATTTCTTGCAATAGTATGTAGTTAGTAATCGCCCAATATGCGAGACACATTTCTGCAAACCAGGAGCATTTCGCTTTAAGGAAGGCCTAGCACTTAAAAACCTCACGGTGAGCAGAGTAGAAATTGTTGAACCTCATTATCAAAGAAGCTTTGCTCAATGGCAAGTATAGATGTTATAAAGCTTTTGGAACCGCTTTCATCGGTGAATAACTACTTTCTCAGCTCTCCCTTTCTTGCTGGAAGGCAAGCTTTAAAGAAAATTATTTAATGTGGAAAAAAAAAGTGTTAAAAAAAAGTTAGTCGAGCTTTCCTTTCGATTTTGAGATTGTTTTGCAAAGTCCAAACTACATTTTTGGATGGAGATCGCATTTCTAACACCGTGTGAAAACCGGCACGTATTCGTTGATTCGCTATTTATATGCCTATAGGCCTTTTCTAGAAAACTCAAATATGCTAAAGATGGCTACCCACAACTTCTTTCTAAAACATGTAATGCCTCTTGGTTGCACAAATTTTATTGCGTAGATCCAAATAAGTATATTACAGAAAATATATAAAAGCGTCATACGCTCCTTTAGAGCCAGTCTTGAAAGTCGAAAATCTGACTCAGTAACTCAGTGTCGCGGTATTTTATGGTTTTTCTACAATTTTTCATACGTCGGGGCGTATGAGTGAATTAAGAAGAGTTGCGCCCGCCAAAAAGTTTTCGTTCTCTATCTTTGTTTCAATTCGTTCAATCCTAAAGCAGAAGGACACGCGCAAGCGTTTAAATATATCTTTTTTTATTCCATACACTTATCTATTCATTTAATCAGCTACATGTGTAAAAATCGTTAGCCAATACTTAAGATCTTGGAACTAAACTACAAGTAAATGCACCTAAACAGAGATGTACTTGTAATGGCTAAGAAATGGCTAACACATATTGAAAGAAAGTAAATGAAGTGAGCAAACTTTTCAACTTGATGGGTACCCAAGATTCGCTTTAAGACGTAATAGAAATCTTTTCCGTTGACCTTATCGTCTTTTAATTTTCTTATTGTCTCTTCATTTTCGGTTCACTCTTATTGTTTATCTGCCTGAACACATTCATTTTTAACAAGATGGTTTTTTAATTAGTTTTATGGTTGTTTTTTTTTAAATTCTTTTTTCACTGAACACGACACATTAATATGTATTAAGAAGAGAAAAAAAAAAAAAAAAAGAAAAAAATATAAAACAAAAAACTCTTGAACCATGAGTGGAAACTCGTTGATATTTGTAATCTGCTCTTTCTATGGTCTGCTCGCTTTTGCTGGCTGGATTTTTGAAAGGTTATTGACACACACGAGCACCAAAATGAAACATATTTACAAATATATACTGATTCAGACGTTTGTTACTCTTCATAAAATTGTGAAATTCAATTGATTTTCATTATAATGGTCTGCGCCATTAACTTAAGCGTCTTTCTTTTGTCTAACTTGAATCTTTGAATATTTTGTAATTTCTTGTATAATTACGCTTCGCTTATTAATATGTATTAATGGACTTATTAATTGAGTGCAAAAAAACTATTACTCGATTTTCACTACTACGTAGTGTTGCAAGATAAAACCCGTAATAGTGAATGGCTTGAAGCAAAAGCGCCCTAAACCTGGTTGAAAAAGAAATCCTGTCTCCTTGGCCTTGATATCATTATGACACTCTGCCATCTAAGAATGCCGTCGTACATTTACGTTTCTGGCGCATATCTCACAAAAGTGCTTCATTGTGGACGTCGATAGGCGAATAGGGGGAAAAAGAGGCAGACCGTGACATATTGTGAGATTTCTGAGCGCGTACGGAATATCCGCATACAAAGAAGTAAATTTTTTATTTTTGAAATTCAACCCTTTCAATTAATTACCATAAATAGTGAATATCTTCTTTTATTGATTGAGTAGCATTGATAAAAATTTCGGAGGAAAAACACTAATGTTCTGAGCTTTAAATCTATCTTTCATTCCGTACAATTCTTAAACATTCAAAAGGTAACATACGTGTAAACACATTTATTTCGAGGGGCTTACGCCACTGACGCTGACAGAAAATCGATACGTTTGGTATAAAGCATGAAATGTTAATGTCCTATAAATATCATGAAAATAGCGACAAAAAAATTATATCAAAACGATAACGAAAATTTTTGTAGATAGAAGACATTTTTTTTCCAAAGAAAATATAAATAAACAAAAAAGAAGGTAGAAAGCGAAAGAATGGGCGAAGAGACGTACCGCAGGCGGAAAAGTGAAAGAAAACAAAAACTTTTCTAATTTGTGATATATTTAAGGAATTTGTAGACATTTTTAACGACAAATTTATATCATCGATTGTAGTGCGCAACCCTTTTGTATTCGAACGAATCGAGATATAAAAACATTTTTAGTTAGCTCGTTTGTTTGTTTGTTTGTTTGATTTAAAACAACACAAACAACAAGACAATCTTTTGCATTAGCAATGAGACATAAATTCATACACTTATGCACATACGTAAGTGTAAGGTTAGTTGGAATTTGATAAATGTTTCTCTCATTCTGATGTACATATAACATACATACATACATACACGCGGGCAAACATCACGGCACACAAGCAGAATACATTGATAGAAAAAGCAGCGAAAAATTTAACGAGCAACCATTGAATGCATTGCCCGCAGTTTGAGTGTATTTGTGTCTATATATAGACAAAGCGAACGACTGGCGGATGATTAAATGTTATTGTTGTTACCCTTGTTCACAGTCCACTCTTTTTCGTTTTCTTTCTATTATACGGATTTTATACTCAAAATGACTCAGTGAAATTTTGCTGATATGCTGTAGACCGTACGGCCATTACGAGTTAAGCATTAAAACAGCGCAGACGTTAAAGTCATTGAGGCCGCATACAGGAAATCAACACATTATAGAAAAACGAATAAAAAAAAACTCTTCAAGAGTAGGCTTAACAATACTTCTTTTGTGCCAATGCAGAGAGGTTAAGCATAATTTTGTGATTAAATTCAAGAAATAAAATATTTAATATATTTATAACAAATGAAATGAAAGAAAATAAAATCAATAAATGAATAAATAAATAAAGAAAAACGTATCTCATATAAATGTCGTCTACTTACGTAATCCGTAGCGTGAGACAAGAAACCAGTCCATGTGTGACGTGAAGATAAACAAAAAAAGAAAAGAAAAACATCCTTTTCGAAGTTCTTCCCGGCACTGTTAGATGTCTCTATGTTATGACCGCAGTGCTACCAAGTTTTACCATAATTGTCGTTAAGGTTGTTGTCCCATCTACTTGTCCAAGAAGAACCACTGCTGCAATGTACATGTTTTATGTTCCCATATTTTTATGTTGTATGACGTATGCATGCAGGATTCTGGGCAGAAATTGATGCTCATGGTTGTATTTTATAGAAATTACAAATCCATTAACATTTCAATTAATCTCATTAGGCCTAAGAAAGAAAAATAAAAAGAAAAAGACTATTGAAGTTTCTAATTGGATTGGTTTGCAATGAAATCTTGCTTGCTGCGTTTAGTAGGAGTGTAGGGTATACCAACTTTGTCATTTCTATATGATAATTAAAAATCAATGATGCGAATTATCTAAAGCATTTTGATTTAGTCACATGTCCCTATGTCCTTTCCATTCATTATTTTAAGAAAGATCATAGCGAAAACTTTTGGTAACATATAGAAAAGAAAAGGGAAGAGAAAGGAATATTTCTCCGGTTGCCAAAAATTCATTTAGGTCTTGTTGCGCTAATATTGTCACCAGTTTAGAATCCTGAGCGGACCTTCACATTGGTAGCATATATTTGTTCGGCAAATTATTAATCTAAGGTTTAGTGCGGTTTCGTACTGAGCACTTTTAAAATACAGAACTAGCTGGGGTCATACTATTATTAATGAATAAAAGGGGCTACTGTCCTAATTAACAGCTTGGCGAAAAGTCGAAACGTCTGCTTCATTGTATCGAATACTCATGACGATCTGTTATATTCACTTTTCAGCGAGTGTTAGATTGCGAATGGCAATAAAGTAACACAGGAGCATAAATCATCATTGTCTATACAAAGTTATTTGCAATAGCGCGTCGTTGATCCAATTATCTGTAATTTTATTATAAGTACTTCTGCTCTAAATCGTAAGGTACGATCAAGTTCCTGAGCCTTCCCAATAATTCGAATAATATGTTTCTAGAAAGCATTTCAAGAGGTAATTGCATAACTCTACAAATACATTATGGAGCTGTGAGCTAATTCTAATTCTATTTATTTGGCCGCCTTTAAAGGGGGTTAGCTTTTCTCAGCTGTTATTTTCTTCTTGGTGTCGTGTTCAAAAGTAAGGGGAACCTATATTGATATCAATTAACATTACGTGGGTGCAACAATTGTACCTTACAGCTGGCAAAAGTGTCATGTCATTCAGTTTAGAGTCAGTTCTTAAGTTTCGACTGTCTTCGTAACTGCTGGAAATTGTTGCCTCAGGATTTTCGAAATGAGGAACAAAACCCAAATTGGTTAAGCACATTTTAAAAGACTGTGAAGATGATGAACCGGTACAACAATCGATCGTTTACAAGGTTTAAAAGTGATAAAAAAACTTTGAAGATGACGGAAAAGCAGTCGAAGTTGAACAACGTTTAAGAGGACACCCAACCTCGACCACCGATTAAAATACTGAGAAAATCAAGGTTCTTCTGCTTCGTGAATCTTAGAGACCTTGTAAATACGCTTGGAATACCGACTTGAATAATTTAAGGCATTTTAAAGATCGAGTTGCAATTGTCTCGTTTGCCATCTTCTCGTTCTTTTTCGAATTAGCTTAGTTACTTTATTCCATAAAGCTTTATACAAGCTATACAAGAAACTTATCGTTTGGATTTTTCTAATAATTTATGTAATATTGATTCAGATGATATTAATGACAGTAATAAACCAATACAATTTACAAAGATTGGTCACGTAGCTGCGGACAAGACTTTCGACATTATAATGTGAACATTCAGCCCTAAACCAAATGACTCGATCGTTATTGAGATTAAAATAAGATAAGAAGGTTAAGGTAAGGTAAGCGACAAAAACGGTGTGATCCGCCCTAGGGCCGAAACACGCTGGTGCATCAAATTCCATTATAGCATATCAAAAATTTACGATGTATGGGCTAAACATAAAAGTAAAAGATAACTAGACGGACAAACAAGCTTAGAAAGAATCGCCTTCTAAATCGGTCGATATAATAAACTGTGCAAAGTTCTTTTAGGTTTTGCGTACTTTCGTAGAAACTTAATCTATTCTTCTGTCATAACTGGTATAAGGTACAAAAACTGACAATAAAATGTTCGGTGTAGACCTAAGAATAGCTATGGAAATGATGCTCATTAGATTTAGGCCTTGGTTAACGTTCGTCTGTTAACAAATGTTTAAATATTTGTAGCGCTTATAGCCTACACCACTTGTGCTGCAGGGTATATTAAGTTTGTGCGGACATATGCAACACGTACAAGATAGACTTACCTTTCACTATATCGACATCGTCTGTCCGTATGTCAATCTGATGTCTGTCGATAGTCCTGACTGAAAGTCGTTACCTGGAAAAAATTTCAATTTTCAAAATTCCTTCACGACAGTGATTAGGTAAGGTAGGTAGTATTTCGGCATTTTCAATTGGTGTGAAAAGTTTGGACCGGCTCGGGAAATTTTTTGAACGTTTTCTCATATAACAAAATCTGAAGTTCATATAACAAATAGCACCAAATTTGCACCGTCTTGGCCTAATTTTTTGATCCTATCCTATGCAAGGAGAGTAAGGAAAAATGATCTTTTTTAGGACAGAAAAAACTAACGGTTCTGAGTTTTGAACACGTACCTCAATTTTTGAACCTCTTGGCAACAACCATTCTTACGGAAAGTAAGCCTTTATTTGCAATGGGATGTAATTTTTAGTATACCGTTCCATATAAAAACAGGGCGTACTTTTTGTGTACTATAGCAAAAATAAGAATATGGTGTAGCGTATTTAATACTCGACCTAGCCGGACTATAATATTTTCACTTGTTTCATTTATTTAACCATCTATTTAGATGCGTCTCATGATTGTGGTTAGGAGGGATTATAGGTAGTGGGGTAAGAAAAGCGGATAAAAGATTTGTGTAATGTTCTACTTATAAGCGAAAATATGATGAAAGAGCGCTCCAGGTGGGTAGTTCTATATCTTAAGGAATATCCTTCCAGGTAGAGGAAGAACAAAGGTGAAGAAGCATTGAAAAATTGTGTTAAATTTAAAGCGAAAGATGCTTTGCCTAAAAGTGAAAATTTTTCGCAATATATGGAAACTATATATATCGCAAGTTTCGGTGGGTGTACTTTATACAGCTTTAGCTGACCTTCTAAGACCAATTGTGTTATCTCAGAAGTAGAAAAATTTGATATAGGATGGACTTCATTCTGCAGATTAAACCTGAGGATTATACCAGTGTGTCTATGGCGGATAACTTGTTCGCACAGGGGTTTGGAATATATTTTTATCAGCTAATGATTTATTTTATAAAAGATTTTCTGACGGGCTCCGCACCTTGCGACCGCTTTCAACGACTTACCTCTCCCTCTCTCTCTCTTCCTGTAAATGAATTTCGTTCCTGGCCATCCTAATATGTAACTTTTTCACTTCGGCTTTATTTTATTGATGAACGTTCCGCAATCTAGATGTTGTTCTTAAATAGTTACAACATAACGCAATTACTTTTAATCTGCAAATATACAAATGTTTTCAAGTGAGTGAAAATCGAATCAACGTTTATAAGCGAGCCACGAGTTGCGCTTTATTAAAGCGTAAATACACATACATACGTACATAAGCCATAGTGTAGATAATGGAAATTGTGTTTTAGTTTATACGCAATTATTGTTGAAGAAAATAAATTAAAGGTAATAACAAAGTTTGAAAGAATGATCGTCGTTTGTAAGTTCATTTCTTTGACTTCATTTTTAATCTTTATCTCACTCACTCACTCACTCACCCACCCTTTCCCTTTCTCTCTTTCTCTCTCTCTTTCTCTCTTTCTCTCTTTCTTTCTCTCTCACTCTCTCTATCTCCCTCAGTCTCTGGAGAATGCAATAGCAATAGCAACAACACGACAAGACAACAAGATTGTTATAAAGCATTGTGAAAACGAAGTAACAACTTGAAGCATTTATTTTGTGTTCAAGTTAATGAAGCCAAACTAAACAGCGAAATAAACTTTAACGCGGAATCAACTAAAGCGCCAAGAAACTTATTAACAATAACAATAACAACCACAGTAACAAGTGCAAATCAGCAGCACACTCTTAAAAATAAAAACAAAATTCTATACACACTCAAGAACAATCAGACGTCACCACCGCACACACCGAATAATAAGCAAAGACAACGAACTAACGAAACAACCAACAAACCAACCAACTTACTAACTAACCAACTAACTAACTAACTAACTAACTAACTAACTAACCAACTAACGTCTAACCAGTCAGCCAACTGATTATATATATGCTGAGGGAAAAATTGCATCGAAACTAAATCGGCACTTTCGGTCGCAATAACTACGACATTTACGATTATTTTACGGCCACTAAAATCAAAAGTGTAATTTACTGAATTGTATCGGTGTAGAATCAGTTGACGCCAACTACAAGACAAGCAGCAACCCAAGGCAAAAGGATTCATTGGATATGGAGGCAGCAATGCCAAAGTAAACAGACAGTTGCAAAAGCAACTGCAGGCAATGGGAAGTAAGGCAAGGTAAAGAGAAGGAAGACAACTTTGCTTAACAAACTGAGAAGAATTTTTTGATGCCAAAATGAAAGCGTCGTCATCGTCATCGTCATCGTCATCGGCATCATCGTCATCATCATCATTCGCATCTCAAGACGACATACGTGAATTTAGATTGTGATGTAGCAAAATGAAAAGAAAAAAAAAAAAAAAAAAATGCAAAAAGATGAACAAAAAAAATAAAAAACGAAGAAGAATATCAAAAACCAGTTGCTTTGCGGCAAAAACGGCAGAAACATTCTTTACATGCAATGTATGTGCGTGTGCTTAGATGTATGTAGAGTGTTTGTGGAGCCACGCCATGTTGTGACCCCTTTGCATGTTTTCAACTGTTTGCTTGCCTGCCTGCTTGCCTGCCTGACTGGTTGCTTTTGTGCTGTGCACCTTCCGAAAATTGCACTTGTTTTCTTAAGCAATATCAACTTTCTGCTCATATTATTGTTGTTGTTCTTATTATGCTGGCTGTTAATTCCTCCAACATATTCGAGAGTGTGTTTCAATTTTAGGTTTGATTTTTTTTTTTTTTTGTCTTTTACTTGTTTGTTGTGCACTTTACCTCGAAACCATGGAAGATGATTTTCATGTTTTTTTTTTTTTTTTTTTTTATGCATTTACACTTCCAAACCCTGCTTAACCGCTCGCTCCTGGTGCAGCAACGTAAACATCCTTTTTTCAGTTTTATTTCTATTTATTTATTTTTTTCTTTTTTTCTTTTCTTTTGTAGTTGTTTACTTTGATTAGATGGAAGAGAGAACAGAGGAAAGAATATAGCGTTTTAGTCAAAAGCTGGGTGAATACATTGCGCGATGACTGCATGTGTTTTACGATGTTAACGATTATAGCACAAGCAACGCTGTTGAATCGCTTCAAGTAATTTTGTAGATACTTGAAATAATTTTAATGTCAGCTTTTACATGGATTCAATTCAGTGTAGTAGTATTGTGTACGTGTATATGCGTGTGTTTGTGTGTGTGTGTATGTACGTATGTGAGAGATCATTTGTCCCAGCCCATCATCATTGCGAATGCTTTTGGCTGTTGCCTGTTGGTGCAACACACATTGTCATTTTCGGAACGAGTATGTGTTGATTTTAATAAAATGTTCTTTTTCCTCGTCATCATCATCATCATCATCATCATCATCATCAACATCCCAATTACAGGGTTTGTGTTGATTTTATTAAAAAATATTTTTCTGGTTATTTTACTGCCATCAATCGTTTTCTTGTTGATTGAATTCCGCACTGAAAGCGATTGATTTTAATTTTAGCAATACTCGCGCGCGCGTGTGTGTGTGTGTGCCTGTGTGTGCGATTAGTTATTGCATTTAACTAAGTATAGGTGTGTCTGCATGTGCGTGCGTGCATGCGTGCGAATCAGGTGCACATTGAGATAAATGATATATAAACGGTTTCAATCGTGCAACTCAAACTATATATGCGCTTATAGTAGACATAACAAAGCAAAGCAAAGATTTCTAAATAGGTTTAAATCGAATCATCTCTCACTACCCATAACACTTTATATGGGAAAAAAGGGCAAAAGAAATTTCTTTTGAAAAATGCTATGCTGGATTCAACTAAAAACGTAACCCAAAAAGCAATCGTTTAATTTGGAAACAAAGTTGCATTAATTCCTTAGTCCAATCAATATTGATACACAAAAATTTTTGTTGTTGCTTCTTTAAGAAATGAAAAAATAATAATAATATAAAGCGGTAACACTAATTTAAGGCTGTCGAGGCCCATATTTCCGTTGATAAACACCTAAGACGGACATACTCGATTAGTAAATTAATTTGCTTACCGTTAATATTTATAGTTTTTTGTTGCAGCTTTAATTGAACTGCAAAAAAATGAGCAATTTTTTTAATCTTTTCGTACTTCCAATAATGATCCCCATCTCAATCAAAAAACTTATTTCTTTGGGATAAACGAAAGTAATGTTTTCATAATCATTCAATCAAAGTCAGACACTTTTATGTAACGGGCTCCACGTTTGACGTCATTTTTGTCTTACGTAATAATATATCATATTAATAACGTTAGAAGGCCAGGCGGCCGGTGTTTGTAATGGATAAAGACCCGTCTCCTTACAAGACTAGCTTTTTCGGTAGTAATGGAGGAGAGTTCGACGCTTTATATCCAACAAGCCCTCCAAAGACGGTTCCACTCAAGAAACGCACGTTCAAAAACCCTTAAGCAGACAGACGGATAGATTGATGTTTTACCTTCAGCTATTCCATACTTTGCCTTTCGTCCCCGTTCGAGGAAGAAATTTGCATCTCAAGTCCAAAAACAATAAGCTTCTGCATGTATTGGTATTCTATTTGTCTATCCGGCCAACTGCTTCTCTAGGTGATGTCGAAATCTTCAAACTCAAAAGGGATTCATATAAAACGTTTACTATATCATGCTCAGGTCAAGTCTGCAAATACTTTAGACGCCGTCTATCGGTTGGCAAGGCGGTGCCTTTTAAAAGATACGAATTTTTTAATATATTTGTTCATTTCCAGAACCGTGCATGTATCTGGTAATCAAATGAGTCAAATTCGACGTCCAAAGCTAATCGACAATAACTTATGTTATTTGCTTTCCCTCGTACGGGCATTTACGTACACCAATTTATTCCAAAGTTACTGTATATTTTTAAATGTGAAAACGCTACAGTGGGACACAGCCTATCATTAAATATCTTACACCACTTTGCTTAATACATTTATTCATGTAATGACTTCTCAAATTAAGATGTTGTAAGGGGAAAGGTGAAAAAGTGGACCGATCCGAAGAATTTTTTAAAAGCGTTCATTAAGATATCTTCTTCATTAAAATATCTCAAAATTTGCGGTATGTTGAACACCAGAACACAAGACAGACAAACAGACAGATTAGCTTCGTTCGATTTAGAAAGTGATGACCGATCGATCAGTATAATAAAAGATAGATCTATCTAAACTGTTGCAACAACTATTTGCAAGTAATGCACATATAGAAAATGATCTTGCGAAGTGCGAATTTAAGGACAATCTGTATAGTAATTCAACCGTTTGTCGGCATCTGTTCGCTCTCTATAATTAAGATTTTCGAAATCTGAAATATTAATACTTCAGACTTTAGCTAATACATCCAATGAAATTTGCCGAAAGGTCGAGAAGGTAGTCATCAAAGAATTGCAAAGAATCTGCACGAAATATCCTAACTATATGTCGAACTAATTTGATTCCTAATAATAGTTACAAATTTGGAAAGGGGATGAGGCACTAAAAAGTGTTCCCTCTGCTCCAAACTAAAGAAAGATTTTATAATTGTTTAGTTTACCCAGTAAAATATTATTAATACTATTGTAGTGTTATTGTTCACCCTACAAAAATATGATGGGTCACTATGCAGCTCCTTTATATAATATTATATTGGCTGTCTGAGCAGTGATTGAGCCAAGTATTCTACAAAGACAAAAGAGATTTTCCCATCAATCGTTCCCTTCCTTCCACAACACCGCGAGTCGTGGGTCTTTACCCGCACTGTTCCCCTTTCAGAGCAGTCTACCAGCAGTGATCCTTCTCACTGTTGTTCAGGTGGCGACCTTCG